ATGTAATAATATAAAAATATGAATGTGCAGTATAAACGATATTATCTCTGCATGTGACAATGTAAATTAAAAAGTACAATATAAATAATTCATTATGCAATGTGTAATTATATGATCTATAGTATAAATGCAGACACATATTATAATATATGATGTATAATATGATTTAAATGTAAATATACAGTACAAACAATAAATTTTAATTATATGCAATCTTTTTAGAAATAAGTTCAAAACAAATCCATGAAAACAGATTCTAAGAGCACAGCTACTTCTTTGGATCTGGTCCTGACCTCTTGAATCTCCTATGTATAATTTTCATATTTTTGCTCATTGTAGATCTTTTTGCTGTTTTTTATTATTTTTACACGTTGCACTAACATATTATGGTTTCATTTGTTTGTTTTATAGAACTGGGCACTGAACCCAGGGCCTTGGCACTGAGCTACATCCCCAGCCCTTTTTATGTTATTATCAGAGACAGGATCTCTCTGAATTGCTAAATTGCCAGACGTGGTGGTGCACACCTGTAACCCCAGCACTGGGGAAGCTGAGGCAGTAGAATTGCAGTCAGTTCAAGGCCAGCCTGGGCTACATGGTGAGACCCTGTCTCAAAAAAACCCAAAATAAATAGCTGAATTGCCCAGGCTGAGCTCAAATTCAGATCCTCCTGCCTCAGCCTCCAGAGCACTGGGATTACAGGCCTGCACCATCACACCCAACTCTATATTATACATCCGGATCCCTGAAACTTGCAGTGCTCTCTTAAATTTTGCAGCCAAAATGGAAACATCAGTTGACCCCTGGCCCTGCTGCCCACGGCGCCTAGTCTGGCTCTCCTGCCGCCAGCTTGGCACGAAGGGCAGGGCCAGTACCAACCTCAGAGGCCAAGGCCAAATCTGGCCTCTACCTCCCACCTGCTTTAAGCCCTCGGAATGGATTTTTGCCACTCGGAGCCTCAATTTCCTCCTCTACAAAGATGGTACAGCCAGAAAGACATGCTTGATAGGTAGCGAGACAGCACGTGGAGGGCTGCACGTGTGCACTCAGGAGACGGAAGCGGGACGCCTGTGTCACCGTCATGACTCAAGAGAGGAAGTCAGACAGCTGCGGGTTCAAATCCCGTCTCCGTCACTTCCTCACTGTGTGACACTGAGCAAATCACTTCCCCTCTTTGAGCTTCCTTTGCAAAAACAGGACTCCTCCTTGGCCAAAAAGAAGGAAGTGAGACTAGCTACTATTTCAAGGGGTCAGGAGGAGGGTCAGGGGACCTCATTAAAGTGCTGATACAGAGGTGTGGTTGAAAATACTGTGGAAGTCAACATTTTCAAAATTTATTACAGTAAGACACCCACTGCCAGAAATCTCCCCCCACCCCGCCCCCCACTTCAAACACGCTCGTCCCATCCTTCTTGTCACCCTCTGAAGCAGCTCTGGGCGTCCTCCCTTGTGGGTCTAGGTGTGTTGTCGTGACTGCTTCAATATCCTGAATCGATTCAAAATGTTTTCCTTTCCTGGTAATTTTGACTTTGGGGAACAGCCAGAAGTCGCACAGTGCCAGGTCCATTGAACAAGGAGAAGACGCTGTCCCATTCTTATGAGGCTGCCTTTCCATTGGATCACACTCGGCAGCAGCACTCACTGTGTTTTTTTTATCACACCTCGCGAAGACCCTCATGAAAGAGGACTTCCAGAACTGCTTCAGAAAGTGTCAAGAACAATGGGTAGGAGTGTTTGAAACAAGAGGGAGTAGTCTGAGGGGCATTCACACCAACGTGTCTTCCACTGTGACACATTTTTAAAATTTAAATATGCATTGCATATTTTGATCATCCCTTACACGTGAGTGTAAAAGCAGCAGCACATTCAGCAAGGTATAGACAGCTGAAAAATGCCCTTTTCTTGCCGTGCCACTGTGAAAAAGAAATCGCTGCCTCCAAAGTTAGGCCGCAGACTGAGACTTCACTGACTCCAAGAGCCACCCCCAAATCAGAGGTGTTAAAATGTGGAAAAAAAAGTGCTCATCTCAGAATGGATAATGTGACCATCACAGCAGCTAATGCTACCTACATATAAAATGCTTCCAGTTTGCGGGCCCAGAAGTAAGCACTTCATAGGTTCATTTGTGCCTCCTAACACTATCAAGTAGGGACTAAGCTATTTTCCAGAAGAAAACAAGCACAGAGAGGTTAAGTCACTGACTAAGGTCACACAGCTGAGTAGTGTGAAGGCTAGAATTCAAACCTGGATTAGCGGGCTCCAAAAGCCACACTGTAACCCTTCGGCCCTAGGACTGCTTAACAGTCAGTAGGCATTTACCTCCCAATAAGACCATAGCCACCCAAGGTGAGGGGTCTCTCTGTCTCCTCCCCTCAGCAGCTCTCAGCACAGGGCTGGACTCAGAAGTCAATAACCACGGTTCAGAGAATAAATAACTGATTGGCCTGGAGGGTCCCCCTCATGCCCAGCCTGAGCCCCTCGCCCTGATCGCCCCAGTTGAAAATAAGGAGAATATGCTTCTACTCACCACAAATGAACAGACAGGTCCTGAGGAGGTCCCTAGGAACAGATAGAGACCTGGGTTCAGAGCAAAGCTACAGGTTGACGACAGACTGCAGGGTGCCTCATTCATTCACGGATGGAAGAATAGATACGTATAATGTGGCTCGTCCACACAATGGAATATTAGTCAGCCATGAAAAGGAAAGAAATCCTGACACTGCTGCCGTATGGATGGAACTTGAGGCCATGATGCTCAGGGAGCTGAGCCACACACAGAAGGACGTGCACTGAAGGGTCCACGTCCCTAGCATCGTCAGGTCCACAGACACAGGAAGGATGGTGGTGCTGGGCTGGGGAGGGGAAGGGAGTCGGAATTTCATGGGGACCAAATTTCAGCTTGGGGAGGTGGAAAATGCTCCGGAGATGGATTCCGGGGGTGGACATGCCACCACTGTGAAGATCTTTGATGCCACTAAATGTATCCTTAAAATGATTACACTTCATGGTGGAAAGGTCCATTTTATGCTATGTGTATTTTATCATAATTAAAAATAATAATCAAAAGAATGAGGAACCATCACCTCTGTCTAGTTCAAAATGGTTTTATCACCCCAAAAGAAAACCCCAGCCCCGCAGCCCCTTGGCGATCAGCCCCCTGCTGCGGCAGCTGCCCCACGCCGAGGGTTTTCTACACCCGTAGACTCCCCCGCCCCAGAGATTTCACACAAAGGGGAAACGCTGTGTGCAGATGCAGGCAGCGTCCCTGCCCCCTTCACTTGAAAACAGTTAATTCTGTGTTGTGCAAAGTTCATCTCAACTGTTTAAAAAGGAAGAGAGAGAGAGAGACAGAGAGAGAGAGAGAGAGAGAGAGAGAGAGAGAGAGAGGAGATGTTCTACGTAAAGTGATAGGGAAAGATCCCAAAATAAAACAGAAACATTTTGAAATCCGGGCTGCAGACTGCTATCGACCCTTCAGAGTCAACCAGGGGAAATGTGAATCCACACCGGTGTCCACTTGTGTCTGCAGGAAGAGCCTCCAGACGGTCACATTAGAAACCGGATCACAGCAGCTGTCTGAGCTGCGGCCGGAGGCTGGGGCGGAGTCGTTTTCCTCTATCCTGACCCTGGAGCCCAGGGACAGGAGAGGACGACAGAACCCGCACGGCCAGCCTGAGTGCCCCGCCCTGCCCTCTGTGAGGACCTGGCCGGGGGAGAAAGGGTTGGCTCAAGACCAGCACAGGGAGCGTCCAGGATGGATCCGGGGCTGCGCCAGAGACTAGGACCTGCTAAAGACTGACATGCAAGCGGCGCATGCAAGGACGGAGGGACCGGCCTGAAGGGCTCTTCCGGGATGGGTTTAAAATAAGAATCCAAGAGCTGCTCCCGGCGGATGACGACAGGTGGAGGGATGCAGGGACAGGGAAGCGAGGGATGGCAGACAGATAGATAAGAGATAGAGCAGAGAGATGACAGGTGGGTAACTGAGAGAGAACGGATACGTAGATAAATAAGAGAGGACAGATAGTAGGTATGTGAGAGGTAGTAGATAAATAAATGATATAATGTGTAAGTAAACAGATAGATCATAGACCAGGTAGATAATAGACAGGTAAGTAACCAAGAGATAATAGGCATGTAAATAAATGCAAAAAGGTAGATGATAGATAGATAGCTCAGATAGGTGATAGGGAGGTAGGTAATGGAAGGATAAACAGGAGATAGACAGACCAGATAGATGATAGACAGGAAACTGCAAGATAATAGATAATAAGTGATTGATAAACAGATAATGGACCAGACAGAGGATGGGGAAAGAGGTAATAGATAAAGAGGTGCTAGATAGACAATAGGTAATAGGCAGGTAGCTAAGCAGAAAACAGAAGAATAACTGGTGAAAAGACTGCAGCTAGATAATAAAGTAGACACTAAATGAGATGATAAGCCAGGCGTGGTGGGGCACGCCTGTAATCCCAGCACTTGGGAGGCTGAGGCAGGAGGATCCTTGTGAGTTCAAGACCAGTCTAGGCTATAAAGTGAGCTCAAGGCCAGCCTGAACTACACAGTGAGACCCTGTCTCAAAAAGACAAAAAAAAAAAAAAAAAAAAAAAGAGAGAGAGAGATGATCTGTAGGTAGATGACCGATAGCACACAGACACAGATCAAGTAATATGTAAATACATAATAGATGATGATGGTGAGAGAGGTAATGGATAGATAGATGGAAACAGGCAGGTAGAGGAACAGATGGAGAGAGAAGTGATCGGTTATGATGGATGGATGGCAGCTGACGGATTAGATAGGCAGGTGATAGGTAATAGATGACAGACACACGATTGATAGATGTGATAGATAATGAATGAGCTGGTGCTAGGTAAGAGACGGAGGACAACAGCTGAGATGGAGAGAAGGTTAGACAGATGATAAAGGACAGGTCGATGGGTAACTGGTGGCTGCACGGGCAGACGGGGTATGAGACACAACCTTTCCCTCGGCAGACCCTCACCCAATAAATGTGGAAGAAAAGATGATGTTGGAAACGCACACTGTAATTTGACAGCAAACAGGCCACAGGATCAAAGAGCATCTTCTAACCCTCTTGGGAAAACTGGAACATCCGCCATGAGTTACGTAAGCGCATGATGTCCATGCCGAATTTTATGTTTTCAGATCATGGTGAAATACGAGACGGTTCTTGTGATGACCGGTATTTAGGCACAAAGGGGAAGTAATCGTCTCAGGAAAGAGGAGTAATGCAGGGGTGGATAAAGCAGGGGTGGCCGTGGGGCCACTGGTGTGACTGAGGGAGGAAGTGTCTGAGGTTCGGGGAGAGTGGGGGAGATCTCAAGTTGCCATAAAGACTGAGCAGAGTGGGGTGGGAAGGCCTGTTCCCCAGGAGTCAGGAGCAGGTGCGAGGCCTTCACAGGACTCAGGCCAGTGTCCCTGAAGGAAGGCAGGGGCAAGGCACCTGCTGTACGCCTGCTTCCTCCCGTGCAGCACCGTGTGAAGGAGGGGACCTTCATGCAAAAGAAGCAAGGAGGAAGCCAGGCACGGTGGCACACCCCGCCACCCCAGCACTCCGGGAGGCTGAGGCAGGAGGATGACAGGTTGGAACCCAACCTGGACAACTTAGTGACTGACCATTTCCCTGACTGAAAATAAAAAATAAAATGGTGGGGAGTGGAGCTCAGGGCACAGGCCCTGGGCTCCATCTCCAATGCCACAAGAAAAAAGAATGAAGCAGGAAAAGGCGGGCTCTGGTTCCCAGGCCAGTCTGCTGGCCAGGCATGCAAAGGCTTCAGCCGGGGGTGACCCTGCCCGCCTCAGGGGCTCCTCCAAGTCTGCCCAGCCTCCCAGGGCCTCGCTCAGTCCAGCGCCTTCAGGGATCCCAGGCTGAAGATACTCACATGGACATAGGGCTTCACCCGGTTACAGGGGAACCAGCCAACTTCATTGGTGCACGTGTTTCTACCCTAAAAACCCAGGAGAGAAAACCTGAGTGGAAATCACAGGCGCCTCTGTGCGTGCCCAGTGGTTACTGTTCGTCCATCCGTCTGGCGGGCCAGACAGCGTCACCCAGCCTCAAGCTACTAGGAAGTGGGGAGTCAGGAGGGACCAAACCCAGAAGGCCCCGTCTGCATCACCCCTCCCCAGGGAGCCCCTCCACAGCCTCCTGGGGCTGTGACCCCGCCCCAAGGTCACCTGTACCCACTGCACCATGCCTGGGTCCCACCCCCACCCCCCGGGGCCCCAGCCACACCTCCCACCAGTTCTGCTCAGCTTCGGCCTTGGTGAGCTCCACAATGTCCCCAGGGCTGAGCCGCAGGAAAGGTCCAAAGGCTCCAGGCGGTGGAGGAAGCCCATAGTACTCCTGAAACACCTCCATCTTAGGCAGACCTGGAGGACAGGGAGGGTGAGGATACAAGGTGGCTGGAAGTCAAGGACTTCGAAATCTGAGTCTCACTCCCCATCCACTGAGGTTGGCCGAAGTTAAAAAGACACAACATCAAGCGGCAGTGAGGGTGTGGAGCTCTCGTACATGTGTGACTCTGAGGGGGATCCACTCTGAAAAGTATTGAGCAGTACCTATTAAAGCTAAGTAAGTATACATCTACGCTGCAACCTAGCAATTCCACTCCAATATATATGCCCAAGAGAAGCAAGAACATTTCCATCAAAAGTCATGACCAAGAATATCACATAGCAGCTTTATTTGCAACAGCCCAAACCTGGCAACCAACCAGATTTGCCATCATGCCAGGTTCATGATATCCTCATAGGATGAAAAACAATACACTGTGATACAGTCATGGTGGAAATATTACACGGCAATAAAAAGGATGTGCCACTGCTAGAAGCAACCTCACTGGTGAATTTCATGGGCGTTATGTTGAATAAAAGAGACCGGATGCAAAAACCAAAAACAAAAAAGCCCTACTGTGTGCTTTATTCATAGGAAGTTCAAGGGCTGGTGAAACTAATCTCTGATGACTGAGGTTAGACAGTAGCGCCCTCTGGGAAGTAGATGGGTACTATTTGCAGTGCTACCCGATAAAACGTTCTGTGATAACAAAATGTTCAAAAATGTGTCCGTCTTCTGCGGCAGCCATCAGCCAAAAGGTGAGTGTTGCGCACCTGAAATGCAGCTCCTGTGACTGAGTGCAGGCTGGTTAAGCTTATTTCCCTTTAATTAATTTTGCTGGATAATTCTGGAGCAGTGGAAACGCTCCAGACCTTGGTGGAATTGTTGAGTGTACGAGTAGAGCAGAGAGGAAGGAAAGAAGCTTCCTCCATTCCATGCCACCCTCATCAGCGTCTGAGCAGAGGGACAGCGCGACTTCGAGTTCATTATTTCTAAATCCCCGGGGGTCCAGGGGCTGGGACACCATGCCGGTGCGTGACAAGTAGGACGCGAGGATCCCTGGGTTCACCCCTGCAGCAGCGGAGCCGGGCCTCCCCCACCCCGGCCCTCGCGGCACCCCTGCGGCTCACCCATCTCGTTGCGCTTTTTCTCCTGAGCCCTGCGGTGCGGCTTGTCCTGCGAGGAGAGGGAGGGAAGCTGGCGTGGGTGCCTGTCCACTCCGAGGGCTCCTCAGCCCGGGCTGGGGTTTCCTCGGTCCCTGCTGGCCCCATGATCCCCAAGCAGAGAGAGCAGCGAAGGCGGGCTGAGTGGGGGTGGCTCTTACCTTCTTCATGGTCCCCGCTAAATCTAGGCGACAAAAAAGGACACCCTTAGGGTGGGAAAGGCCGCCGGGGGAGCCAGCCCGCCTGCCCTGTGCCCCGCTGTACCTTGCCCATGTCGGCCGCACGCAGGGACCCTCCCCAGACACTCCTTGTGCGCAGGAGCCCGGCACCGGTGACAGCGATAGCCCTGGTAGAAGGTCCCTCTGGGACGGGGGATGAGAGAGTCCGAGGCCATACGGCACCCTCCACATTCCACCAACCCCCACCAAGGGTCAAGGCCGGGCCTGCCAGTACTCGGGGATCAGTGACGGGGAGGAGGGGTGGATCACACCTAGGACCCAGGTCGGCCTCCCGGAAACACACCTGAGAAGCATCTGGCAAGCCTTGCAGGATGTGGTCTCCTCGAAGGAAAACATCTGGAAGTCGTGCCCATTGGCTGTGGCGTTCTCTGGGTAGATGTTGGAGCTGCAGAGGAAGAAAAGCAGGAAATCAGTGCATTGCTCCTTTACATGGCTGCATAGTATTCCACCTTATGGACTGGATATACTACATTGTGTTTTGGAGCTAAGAGGTAATGCCTACACAATGCTAGGAATGTGTTAAAGGACGCAGAAATGTACATTATGGAATGGCCCCTTTTTGGGGGGCATGAATTTTACTTCAATAGATGAAGGAAAAGGTGGAGCCAGATGAGAAGGTGGGGCTGGGGATATAGCTCAGTGGCTCTGCGCAAGCCTGGGGTCCTGAGTTTGATTTCCGGTATCCCCCACAAAAAGATGAGAAAGTGAAGAAGGAAAGGATAGAGGCGGTAGAAGGAAAAGGGGAAGGTGGAGGAGAGTAGAAGAAAAGGAGAATCAGAAGAGATAGAGGAGCCAGGAGGAAAAAGGGAAGAGGAGGGAATACCCGGGCTGGGGGAGAAGATCCCGCGCTGAGGTTCTGGCAGCGCTGAGCCCGCCCCTCCGCTTCCCCAGAAGAAACCGAGGCGCAGAGGGACCTCGGAGCGCTGGAGCGTATCTACGCATGCGCTAGAGGAGAGCTGCGCATGCGCTAGAGCACACTGGGGGCCTCCCGGGCCCTGTGCCCGGGGTGCTCTGAGCACAGGGAACGCGAGGGAGGGGACGCACATGGCCATCTCAAACTGCTCCATCCACTTCTTCTTCAGCTCGCGCGTCTTGAAGAACAGCTCGTAGCCCTGGGCACCCTGGTCCTCAATCAGGAGAAACATGTGGCTCCACTGTAGGGAAGCAGAGTCCGGAGTTGCAGCACCCGCGCCCTGCAGAAGGCGGGGCGCACACCCGCCAACCCCGTTCCCAATTAAAAAAGAGTCGGGAGTGCAGCTAAGTGCAGAGGGCCTGGGCTCAACCCCCAGTACAGAAGGAGGAAGGAAGGAGGGAAGGAAGGGAGGAGGGAGGGAGGGAGAGAGAAAAGGGAAAGGGGG